GAAATCAGTGGAGTGGGGTGGGATAACTAAGGATAAGTTATGAGAAGACCGAAGATCACGGACAGGATTAAAAGAGTGAAATGCGAAACGCTCCTTAAGATAGAGAGGAGTGTGCGGATGAAAGAGGATAGAATAAAGGAGTGTTAGGATGTGACAGTCTCTTCTACGAGAAATGGGTAGCCATTGAAGTTGGGAACGATAATGAGAAATATGGTCGTACTTACGTAGACCGAAAATGAATCGAATGCATAAATTCTGCAGACGCTCGAGTTTATTAAGAAGAACAACACTAAGGTCAGAGTAACACGCATCGGCATAGTCAAGCAACGGAAGAAGAAGGGACTGTGCAAGAGAAATTTTAGTCTTGATCGGCAACATGTTTTTCAGGCGTTTCAGCGAGCCATACGCGCCAAATACCCTCCTACTAACTTCACCGACATGGTGGCTCCAAGACAAGTTATTGTCGAACAACACGCCAAGATTTTTTACAGTGTCCTGAAGTGGTATAGGGATGCCGTTTAACAGGATCGGTGGCAAAGCGCTTTTATTAATTCGAGCATTATACCAATGGCTTCCAATGATTATAGCCTGAGTCTTGCGCGGGTTAACCAACAGACCGTGTCGCCGACTCCAGTCATATATGTGTTCCAGGTCGTTGTTGGTAACTGCGATGGCTGTAGGAAGTTCATCGAAAGAAGTTTGTGTATATATTTGGAGATCGTCTGCATACATATGATAGGAAGAAGAGAGAGGAAGAGTTATTGAATTTATGAAAATAGAAAAGAGAAGAGGAGACATAACGCCACCCTGCGGTACGCCGGCTGTTGTGTCGCACCATGATGAAAAATATCCATCCACACATATGCGCTGCCGTCTCCCATGCAGGTAACTATGAAACCAAGCAATCATTGGTGGAGATACATTGAGAGAAACCAACATTGCCAATAAAATATCAAAATCAACCATATTAAATGCGTTACTAAAATCTAACAGCGTTAATACAGTGAGCTGCCGATTTTCCATACCCACACGTATATCATCTGCGATCTTGACAAGTGCAGTAGTCGTACTATGACCGGGACGGAAACCAGATTGAAATGGATTTAGAAGATTGTTCATGGAAAGGAATCTACTTAACTGTTGATGGACTAATTTTTCGAGGACTTTGGAAAGGAAAGGCAATATTGAAATAGGGCGATAATCATTGAAGGAATCAGGCTTGGATTTCTTAGGTATGGGAATAATATTAGCTTCTTTCCATGCTGAAGGATAAACAGATGACGAAATGGATTTATTAAGGATTTTAGTAATTACAGGAGTGAGGATATCTAGAAGAGGAATGATCATATTACGACTAATGCAGTCGCTACCCACGGCATTGGACGATACAGCAATGATGTTCCTCTCAACGTCACACTCAGTAAATTGCTTTATGATAAAAGGAGTAAAAGATGGTGTTGGCGACGAAGAAAGCGTATTCAAAGTATGACTTTTGATTATTCCATCCATGGACGCAGTTAAGGAAAAGTGAGCATTTAAAGCATTGATATCACAATTTGAAGGAGAGGTAGAGTTGCGTTTAGCTTTGCCAATACCAAGCTTATTGAGAAAGCGCCAAACTTTGGCGGAGTCACCATTTTCGACAGACGTATGAATGTGGCGTCTTTGTTTATTCCTAATCAATGTATTGCAGCGATTCCTTATTTCCCTATATCTGGAACGATTGGCATCTGTTGGATTATTTTTGAATTTTGTTTTTGCGCGGGTCTTTTTTTCTATTATTGTGCGTATGTCCTCCGTAAGCCAAGGAGCAGGAACATGCTTGACGCGTACAGGTCGCACGGGAGCGTGAATATCCATTAAACGTATCAGTAAGGAATTAAATAACTCTATTTGTTCATCAATACTGTTGAGATCATCAATTGCCGACCAATTAACTTTACGAGCATCTTCTCGCAGAATATCGATATTCATTGCACTAAAATTACGCAATAGTTGGATTGACGCCTTACGTTTAGGGGGACGGATTCGATACGATAAATAAATTAAATCGTGATAGGAAAACTGATAGGCAGGTAATTGACCATGTTTCACAACATGGTCGGGAGATGATACCATTATAAGGTCTAGCAGAGAAGGGGTGCAGTTTGGAAATTTATGCGTCGCAGAGAGAGGAAGAATATGCATATTACAAGAATTAATTACCGAACGTAACTCTTTGCATCGGGAATCATTTTTAATCTGACAGGTGTTAAAGTCGCCCATTATAATTGAATGAGTATAATTATGAGAAAAATCTTCAAGGAGAAGCTCGAATGAATGAAAATAATCAATTTTAGAAGATGGGCTGTATAAAACACCTAGAAGAATCTTATTGTGGACTAAGTTGACCTCAATGAAGAGATGTTCAGCAGAATCCTGCGGAGGAGGTTGGGATGATTGACTTAATACAGTGAAAGAAAGATGTGCGCGGAGATAAATTGCTACCCCTCCATGAGAAGAGCTACCACGGTCATTACGGATCAAATGATAACCCGGAAGCGAGTAAGAAGAAGAAGGAATAGAAGGATGTAACCAAGTCTCAGATACTAAAATCGCATGAATATTATTATGGACTAAATAAGTATATAATTCAGCATAATGTGCAGGGATACTTTGCGCGTTTATGTGGATTACGTTCAAATTTTTGGGTAAATCACCAAAAGTATCTTGCAGAAGTTCATCAAGGGACGCAGAGTCATCACTATGAATACTATCCTCAAGACTGGATTGAGAGGAGCAAGAATGAAATATATCAGAATTAATTGAAATATTCATAGTACATAGATAAATACAACACAAAAAAAAAACTACTCAATTGGTATACATTTCAATTACCCATAGGCAGTCAATGTTAAATACAATCTAAGCTAAGCAGAACAAAAAAGCAAAAGCTAATAATATCAAGCGACTACAAACAGATAATACAATTAATAAAATATAAGTAACAATATGCAATCCACAGCAGATGTGTGTGGCGTTAGATTAAAAAAAAAACAAACTAAAAAAAGAAAAATAAGTATTTTTGGGAATTGCATGAAAGTTGAAAAAAAAGTGATACGGCAAGGCTGTATGAACTCAACATCTCATGCCTTTGTGTTAGGAAAATTTACAACAAAAAAAAGTTTCAGGTCTATGGTCTGTGTCGCGTACCATACCACTCGACAAGTGCAACAAATGACAACTTTGACATGACTTTCATAAATTTACAAAGGATTTATATCAATTGTAACGTCAGTGTGTAAAATTGTGGCTTGGAACGCAACCCAGTGCCGCTGCAGCGAAGCTGTCAATGTCATACAAAAAGTAACAAAAATCTAATGTTTGTTTGCGTTTACTTAATGAGTGCTTAGTCTACCTACAAAAAATTGTAAAAACAGAAAGCAAGGAAACACTGTATCCAGCTACCATTATAAAATCTTGACAGTAGCTCGACAACATGCAGGCTGAGTCAAAGAACAAGCAACCGCCACTACACCACCATATAAATTTGCATTATCTACTTATTGAAACTAAAGAAGGTTCAAATAGACTACTAGCGATATAAAGTGTTTATAATGATGTGATTCACTCACTTCCTTCTTGGGAGAGCCGCCGTCCTCTGGCGTCTGGAACACGTCTGCTTGACGAGAGGCGAGACTGATGTGCCAGCACCACCACAAGACGGATTAGCAGATGGCACTGCTTCAGAGCACGACGGTTTGACGTTCTGTAGAGGCGAGGTTGGTGTGCCAGCACCACCACTAGGTGGTTTAGTAGATGGTACCACCTCAGTAATCTTATGCCGTGCCTTTTGGGAAGCAGCAACCTTTTCCAAGTCAGCGTGACAAGTTATTGAGTAGCGTTTGTTGTCTGCTCCCAGTACCTTGATGCGACCTCCGTTAGTCCAACAATTAGAAACTCCGAACCTGTCACGGCATTCCAAGAATAGTTTGTGTCGACGCTTAGTTAGAAATTCGGACAGGGTTATGCCAGATCCCTTAAGCCCAACTTTAGCAGCCCATGCTTCATTACAATCATCATAGCTCCTAAACTTGATGAGTATTGGACGAGGCCGTACAGATGAAACTACTCCCATACGATGAGCTTGGGTCAAGTCTTCGGGCTGAATATGGTCTACAAGATGTTGGCGAACAATATCTGCTGCTACTTTAGATGCATCTTCATCAGGCAGCTCAATGACACCATGCAACAGAAGCATTTTTTTCCTGTTTTTCATCTCCAAGTTGTCACATTGCACTGCCAACATATCTACTTGCTTTTGAAGAGCAGCGAGAGACGTCATAATAAATGTTCGAAATGCATTAAAATCTGCAGACAAGGTGGTGACAGTCTCAACTCTAGATGACGGAATTTTCTTCAGCTCATCCTCAAACAAAGCCATACGTGATTGAACCAAATCTGCCAATGCTTCCAAGGTACCCTTAATTCCTTCCATAATGTCAACAAAAGCAGAATGGTGTCAGTGTCAGTTGAATGAAATGTTAAGGTGATGGTGCGTTTTTAATGTGCTTCCAACTAGGAAATATGACTGCAATAGGTAATTAATGTACTACTCTGACATTACGTGTATAATAAATATAGAAAATATTAATATTACTATTTTTAAAATTAAATTCAAATCACTCTTACTAAAAACGTGTATATTCACTTCAAACTACCCACGGCGAAAAAAAGTATCATAAAACAATGTATCAATAAGTAAGTCAAAAATCAAAACTGCTGAAACACCATTAAAACACGATTATTAATTTCGCTTAGAACCAATTTCAATAATCAAACTGTAATAAGAGATAGACCTATTAGAGCTTGGATGATTCGATATATTTATTATTAAGACTATAATAACAACTATTGCTAAGAAACGGAACCAAAATTATCCTTACCTTTTACTGGAGGTCGATTATTGAAACTGGCCGTTAGCAGAATCGACACCCTGGCTGGCTGGGTGCGCGGACGCCGGTCCAACCGGTCCCCTCCCCCCTCCTGCTTTTCGTCCCGTCCCGTCTCGACCAGTTCCGCGCAAGATCCGCACTCGCAAAAACGACTGCGGGCCAGCCGTAGGCAACGGCTATTTGTTTTGGTAATGTTAGCCTTACAGCTGGAATTCGATTCTGCTAACGTGTATCATCGGCGTTACAATTGGATCGCTCTTCGACACGTTTAACAGATGTGCAGAGTCATTTGTTTTTGTTGTTGTATTCAGCAATTGTGCTATCATGTTTTAAAAAGAGAACTGTTTCAAAATTTCAATATCAGCATTTCCTTTTTCAAAAAGATCTATTTCGAAACTTGTGTACATTCATTTGTTTTTTCTGTTATGTGTTCTGCAATTGTTACGTATTTTAGTAATACGAAGCGATACCATTGAAACTTCACTGAGACTTTAACGTTAATGTCGGCTGAATAAATCCCTTGTTCGGAGGCTTCTATGTCTATTGTGCGACTTGGATATCTTCGTTCGTGTAGTTCTAGTGATTGGTGAAGTGCAGTGTAGTGTGTATTTGTGAGCTGATATGTGATACGTAGTGCCGCTGGGAATGTGGCCGGAGCCAGTATCATGCTGGCCGCTCGCCATGCCAAGGTATATAAGTTCCTGAATGAATATTTCCTAAAACATAATAAATTTATTAAAGTCAGTCTATCAGTTGCCCAGACTACAGATTTTATTATCTGATTCCCTTTATTAATATTCATTTTGCTTCGGTCAGGTGGTTTTGTTATGGAGGATGATAAACAAGCATATGACCCACCTGAGGGTAAGCGGCTATCATAGTCCATAAATACTTGCGATACTCAAGCGTTGCGTACTCTACCACAAAACCCTTTCTCGTTGAGTCCTGGAAATCTCAATCCACTGCAAAAACACTGGAAGGGGGAGGCTACTTTTTCAGGCTCTCCAAATTCGAGTGAAAAATCTGTCACGCCCTTTCCTTTCTTACTTAGAAGAGGTTATTGTCACAGCTTTATCTTACAACAGAGTTGAAAGAATTTAAGATACAATAAAAATCCTGTGTTTACTAATTAGTAACTACGTACATACATTCGTATTATCTTTATATATATAATTCTTCTGTGAGTGTGTATGTCACTGAACTTCTCTTAAACGACTGGACCGATTTTGATGAAAATTTTTGTGTGTGTTCAAGGGGATCTGAGGATGGTTTAGATTCACAATTTTGTCCGCTGGACAACCCCTATTTTTTTAGGGCGGTACGAAGTTCGCTGGGTCAGCTAGTATAGTATATAACTTAAATGTTGTTATATGTTAAAGATTGACAAAACTGATAAAAACACCTGCATTTTTAGCATATGACAGAATTGCATTATAGACTAGTCGACGGATAAAAATAGTATACAGACTACAAAAATAATGCTTGTCAAACTGGTTGTTTACCTGTTGAACTTGTTCGTAAAGATGAAGTTACATTATGGTTGAAATACTCATATATTTATTTTACTCACGACACACACAAAAGAATAAAACAAAGAATAACAGTAATTGGATATCCGTGAAAATAACTTTATACAAAATGAAAAAATATAAAATACATACCTTTTTTTTTAACTTAATCAGGCTTTGGACGACATTTCCGAATGCGGTACCAGGAACTTGGTTGAGTTCAATGCCAAGAAAACTCAGGCTTGCGCTTTCACGGCAATAACATCGCCATTCCTTCCCCTTCCCTCTCTTCAGGGCACAACACTACCGCTCCAGAGCAACATTTCCATACTCGGTATGGAAGTTCGCTCAGACCTGAATCCAAAGGACTACATCGAAACCGTGATCAAAACAGATTCACGCAAACTCGGAGTCCTGAACAAGGTGCGGCGTTTTTTCACGCCCGATCAACTGTGCTTGTTGTACAAAACAAAACGAACGAACGCTCCCACCTCTGGGATGGCTCCGCCAAGTACTTGCTCGATGCTTTGGATAGGTTACAGCGGCGCGCGATCCGCATCATAGGCGATGAGGAGGTGACTAAACACCTTGAGCCTCTTCAAATACGCCGTGACCTGGCGTCACTAAGCGCGTTCTATCGTCTGTACCACGGCGAGTGTTCTGAGGTATTCTCTCTTATCCCACCTTCCCCTCTCCTTCAGAGGACCACGCGCGCTGGCCTACGTTGTCACCGTCTTACTGTGGCCACAATTCCAACGCGTACAAAGAAATTTGGTGACTCATTTCTTTGTCGCACTATCCGTAAATGGAATGCTCTGCCCGCTCACGTGTTCCCTCCCTCTTACAACCTGGGATCCTTTAAAAGAGGCGTGAAGATGCAACATGCAGGCCGGCAGGGTGAGGATGGCTGGTGTGGCAGGTAGAAGTGCAAATATTAAATTAACAAAAAATAAATTACAATGTCAAATTAATAGTAATAACTGCTTCGAATCCAATAAAATATAATATATCAATAGCAATCAAAATTGATTAAAGTCAATAGGTACATAATTTTAGTAACATTCATTACTAATAACTTTGAATATCAAACATATTAAAACAGTTTCAAAATTCATAAAAAATGCCGATTTTTAATATTATAATCTCAAATTAATTTAAATTCTACAAATAACAATGTCAACTTAGTTTTGTTTACGTCAATAGACAATAATAATAATTATATAATTTTAAATGATACTCAGGCACCTTATTATAAGGTTTACTCACAATAACTTGTTTAATAGAAGCTTTAAATTTATTGACGCTCAATGATTGGATATTGCTAGGGACTTTGTATATGTATTGTAGAAGCATACACAAAGGCCTGTTGGAACATTTGGAACAGTTTAAACCCAAGCATTTTTGTCTATAATATAATCAGGCACCTTATAATACGCTTTATTCATAAGAACTATTTTAATAGTAGCTTTAATTTTATTGATGCTCAATCGTTGGATATTGCCAGGGGTTTTATTGTAAAAGCGTAGATAAAGACCTATAAATAAATTATTGATTTTGTGGATCCTATTAAATAATAATAATCTCATTTTGAGGCTCTCAGCCAACCCCAAGGATAGTGTGAATCCTGAAATACTTGTAAATTATCATCGTGAATAGCTTATAATGTTCTCACTGTTGGGTTATAGCATAAGTTGTTTCTATGGCTAATTTAGAGATATGCCGTGGGGTATATACCTGGACACATACACATTTTTGAGGGATCATTAATACCCGGCAATGGCACCCTACTTTATATTATTATACTCGTGTTTTAGTCTATATATTTCTGTAATCATATAAAGCCTAAAACTTAGGAGCTCCAAAGGCTGCCAGGGCCAGAACGGCTGAATAGAAAGTTGCTTCAATCGTAGAGCGAACGTAGTACGTAATACGTCATCGTATTATGGCATAATTATAGTGTTAGACATTTTAAATAATGTAAAGATTTAAATATTATTTATAAAAAATAACTCTTTAATTTTTGAGGACCGGTTAGTACAAAGGATGGAATGGAATCCCGGTAGGAGCGTTTATTTGTGTGATGTGCTCGAATATTTTGTTCTCGAGTCATGGTTTGGTCATAAAACTAGCTCTTAAAATGTGTCGCTTTAAGTAATGAAACATTTGTAGCTAAAAGATCAGAAATTAAGAGGTGGCGCTAACTTGTGGTATAAGAAGAACTATCAGTAGTCAGTGCATTCGTCCGCATAGCGAACAACGTGGGTTTTATATGAGTCCGAGTTATAAATCAATACGATTCACTTCAGTTATTTGTGTTATGGCAACTTAATACTCATTTTTAATAACACAATAGTAAAAGTCTTAAAACCAACGTTCTTCGGAATGTGAGCGAATGTGGAGTTCGCTTTTTGGAGAGCAGAGCCTAGAATTAAAGATGCCACTACTCCAATAACACCTAAAACGATAATTGACTAAGAAGCATAACCGGGTGAATGCACTGACCACATTTCATCGCATGCCGCAAGTTAATGCCATTTCTTCAATTTCGATCATTTTGCTACAAATGTTTCGTTATTTGAAGCAGCACGTTCCAAGAGTTAGCTTTATGAATCGAGTTGCCAAGAAGAGTCGGTAAGATAAATCCGAGTTCCGTTCCAGCCTTAAGACCACTCGGAACTTTAACAAATCGTCGTGTTAATGGGAAAACCAACTAAGTGCCGATTTTTGCAAAATTGAGTTAAAATACATATTTTATAAAAAATAAAAACAGATCTATCTAATGGTGAAACCATGTAAAAGATAGTGAAAGTGAATAACTACTAAATTAAAAATTTTCATAAATATGAGATTTAAAACAAATATTAAAGCATTATTTTCATTTTTATGCCATATCTTTGCGTACATGGACTTATAAAAAAATATACGTCCATGTTTGCGTAAAACATATTATGCGTATCTAATTAATCTTCGCCGTGGTGACTTCTCCATGATTCACTCTGTAAATCTACACAGAAATGTTATTATCAGAACATAAAAACTTTTTACATTAGTAAAAATTTTATGTGCATAACTAAGTATAGAATAAATTCATACTTAACCAATCCAGTAGTTTTTACCCGTCAATAATTGAGATATCGCTATATGAATAATAGAAAAGCAATACGTATTAACTCGTGTAAGGCGTTTTAATTGCTATTACTAATTTTGCAACGAGACAACCGACTAGCGCGCCTTATAATTTTTCGCTTTGATTTATGCGACGCGTTCTTCACACGCCATCTAGAGCTTGCCAGCACTAGATGACGTGTTAATAATGGAAATCGCTGGACATGGTTGTCGTAGCGTTTGTAAAACCTTTGAAATATAATATCTTATTTCTGTAATTTGGACACTTAGTTGGTTTTTCCATTAACTCGACGAAATACTCGTTGACTGGTCGATAAGCGGAACGTAAATTAAGTATCGCAACTTCTGGGAAGGGTTCAGAGTTGTGTAAACAAACAATGGCCTCGGTCAATCCATTGAATGAGTACTGCTACTGAGTAGCCTGTAGTATATTATCGCAGTACGTGTTCCATTGAATCTGGTAAACGATCGGCTACCGATCTTCCTCTGGCTCATTTGGTTGCTTTCTGATTTTATACCCGAACCTTCTACTAATCTTGTAAGACGCAATGCGGAAGTATACTTTCGTAAATAAGAAAATCAAGTCTTAATAAAATATACAAGTATTACCCCTCGCTTACACTTATATACATGTATATAAATATTTAGTATACAATACTTGCATTAAACCTATTGGATAAACAAAATATATGAAGTAAATAAGTGATTTACACTTGAAAGATACTAGTTGTCTACGTAATGTAAACGAAATAATGTTTTAAACAGCTTTTCAGCTTAGAAACGAGGGGTAAACACACGACTAAACTATACATTTACCTTATTTGGCCAATAAAGTGTGTACAAAGTAGGTTCACTTTATTGGCCAAATACGTAAGGATAAAAATGGTAAAGATTAATTTAGGAAATGATTCGATTTATATAAATGATTCAGTATCATAAAAATAAATTATTAGAGTTCTTCTGATATGTGCGCATTCTGGTTTATAGTAATTACTTTTTCTCTTGTGTATTCATAGGGAAAGGACAGCCTAAGGAAATTATGATGAATACTTCAC